GAGTTAGTAGTGTCGATAGCTAAAAAGTCACATGAGTTTTCTAATCCACTTTCTAAACTTAATAATTTTAATCTAGGGTCAAAAATAACACCGAAACCATACAATATTGGTAATTTAGACCAATATTTTTTAAACTTTTTCTCCATTAAAGCTATAGAAACTCCTAAAACCTCGTGTGTCATAAATTCATTAAATAAAATAGCCATTCTTAAAATTTTTCCTAACGCTAATGGTGACGTTGGGTAATAAGTTCCACTAAGCTTTAAAGTAACTTCGTGAAATCTACCTAAAAAGTTATACAAGAGTTCGGCAATTTGCCAATCAGTTTCGTCTATAAATCCTGGTCCTAATTTTGCACTAACATAGTTAATTATAGCATCTTTATAAGGGATGCATTGTTCAAGCATTATGTAAGTGGAGTTCTATCTTACGGGCATATCTAATGTTAATGCTCTAGGATTTTGATTACATGCTTGTAGAAACCTAAACCAATCTTTTATTCTTTGATTACTACCTTGAATCCAAGCAATGTTATCTCTAATTCTTTTAATATGGTCTGACATTGATTTTAAACCAGATTTTACTATTAAATTAATTATATGGCATGTACAACGTTGGTGAAATATATCATTATTACCGAATAAACTTAAATCATTTTCAAAAAATTCTATTGCTTTAGTATTTACAGTTGCATTATCTAATGTTATGGCCATTACTATATCCCTTAAACTATATTCATCAATGACAGATAAAATTGTATTATATATTAAATTAGCAGTATGTGATCCTATAACACATTTGAAACCTAATATTCTCTTATCTAAATCAAAACCTTTAAAATAATGTCCGGTTACAGCTAAATAATCTTTGTTGGCAACGGCGGACCAAATATCCGCCGTTAACGCAACGCAACCACTAGTAGAGTGTAAAAGGTTGATTAATGCTTCTTTTTCTTGTTTATAAAATTTTAATGCATCTTTCCTAAGAGTAGTTCTTGAAAAAAATTGTGGATTAAGATTATGTACAATTTTAATATAACGCTGCCAATTACTTTGTTCGGTAAGACTAAATGGTTGATCTAATGTGGCTACTAATCATGCCATTTCCATACGATCGACTTGCGAATCGTATTTCCACGTGCTTAGACCGCCGGTTTGGCAGTCAAACGTTAATTGTATTTGGCGGAGCTCGGCTCTGCCTCCTTACTTTTGAAGACACTTTTCAGAGTGTCTTCTTAAGTGTATAGTGTCGTGAATAGTGTTACCTTATAATTTATCTAAACAATATTTACATTGAGCTATATATTTAACGTTACTGTTATTGTCGACCTTCTCGAATGTGTTGAAGTGCTCCCAAACTGTTGAGGTGCGCTTGCATTTCTTCTTAGAACTTGCAACACTTGCACTAGCACTTCCGCTTGCCTCTCCTCCACGCCCACCACCACTACGTCCACGACTCGGATTTGCAGTTTCCTCAGCAGCTCTTTCTGTTGTTTACGATTCCTGCGTTTGAAAAACATTAGTAGGAAATTGCCCTTCTTCGATGTTGAATTAGGCATTAATGGGAATATCACCACCATAACCAAAAGAAGCCATTATGAAAAATAAGAGAAATTGAGAGCGCTTTGAGAGAGATTAAGAGAGATCGGGAGAGATTTAAGCGAAATTAAAAGAGATTAAAGAGAGATTATGAGAGAAATTAAGAGAAATTAAGAGAAAATAAGAGGTTTTGGGTGAGAAATTCGGATTGGGGAGGGGGGGTATTCATAGGAATTTTTTTGGGTTGAAAAATTTTTTTTTCCCTAAAAAATTCGGTTCCAACGATATACAAAATTCAGGCGGTCGGGTCAGGTTCAAACAACTTCGGGCAACAGTCATAAAAAAGAGCTGTTGGGGTTCAAAATTTGGGAAATTTTCGGGCAGCGGTCGGGTCGGGTAAAAAAGAGCCGTTGGGTTCAAAATTCGGGTTAACGGCCACAAAAATTCGGGTAGAATTTGGGCAAAATTCAGGTTACGTGGAAAAATTCAAAAAAATCCGGCGGACGGTGATCTCGTCTTCTCCACCGGCGGCGGGCAACTCGGAATAGTTTTTCCTCGGGCTGCCTGAGCCTGAGCCCGGGGAAATGGTCGGACGAGCGGCGATAAGTGCCTGCCTGCCGAGCTTGAAAATTTTCAGGCTTGGGGCAAGCCTGCCGCCCGAAGTTCCACCACAGGAGTAGTATGGAGATTGGGGTGAATATTTTTTTTCCTTTAAAACTCTTTTTATAACTTAAATCACAATTCAAGTTTTTTTGCTACAGTATTTTCTTTTACAAAAATTTAACTTTAACTTTTTTATTATAATATTTTCTCTTATATAAAAAAAATTTAAAGTTATAACTTGTGTTGTTACAACAACACATTCTTTGATTTTTTTTAAGTTCGCAGATTATAGTTTATTGATATTAGTACAACTGCATGGAATTGGAAAGGTAGAATTTACAATTGTGACTTTTCAGTTTTCAAGTTTCAAAATTCTAATTATCTCCCTTATAAAGTGCAAAACGATTGAAATCTTTTTTTTTTCCGCTAAAAAAGACTTTGTTTTCTCTGATAATATTTTTCTTTGATAAGCGTTGAACTTTTATCATTGCAGAATGTCGGTAATTTTGTTTTCCTCCATGCTTACTGTTTGGATAAAAAAGAGAATGGAGAATGAAATTTAGAAATCGGTTGGACTTGTCAATGAGATTTGATGCTTTATAATGAACTGTTGAACCGGAGTTTGATTGGTAATCAGTGACCTTGGTTTATGGTTTGAGGACTTGAATTCTATTTTTTTATTATTATTTTGATCACGTTCGATTTTTTTGCTCTGTTAACTGTTCTGTGCCTTTGTGTGGGTGTTCTTTTGTTGCCTTTGTGTCAGTGCTCATCTTTTCTTTTCTTTTCTTTTTTTAAATAAATAACGCGAAGCATGAAAGTAAATAGAAGGTTGATCTGCTTCTTTTTTTTTTTTTTCATTTTTTTTTTCATTCAAGAGTTTTATTTTAATTGTTTCTGGCCTTTTCTTTTTCCCTCCCAGACCAACATAGGGAAAGGTTCATCTATCGAATAAATTCCAAGCCTGTTATTTAATTTAGTTACAAACCGCCCACTCCACCCACCTCTAACCTATCCAACTGTTATACTATTGGATGGTTACAGGCATGGATGAAAATATCCATAACATTATTGAGATTTTCACGACATTATTTATATTTTAAGTCTCGACATGAATAACGAGGGAAAAATATTTTTCCCGGCGTGTCTATAAAATATCAACAATATTCACAAATATCTGTAAAATCCGTAAATATCCATAAATTTAAGATATTTTTTAAAATGTCCACGAAATGTCCAAAACATCGAGAAAATATTTTTACACCAAAAATAATTTTGTAGCACATTTTTTCCTTTTTTTTTAAATAAAATGTGATAACATGATTCAAATCAAAAGTAATAAAAAATATTAAGACTTAATTAGATTTTAAAATAATTTTACTTTTTAAATGTATGTTTCATATTCTAATACCTTTGAGTCCATTCACTAGGGAAGAAGATTTTACTTATGCTTCACAAAACGAAGATCATGAATGTAATGCAGCAAGTCCAGGTATTGGGGTAATTGAAAAACAATTTATAAGAACATGTGGTTTGACTCAAAATGAGTAATATTGATGAGGATCCTGTGGCCATGAGTTTTGATTTCATGAGTTCCTAACTGAACAAAGTTCATATCGTTATAATCATTCAAATAGTTCTCATATGAGATCTACTTCAAAAGTATAAAACCAAGATAGTTTCTTAATATATTAGTATATTCTACCACAGGTCAGTGTTGAAATGTCACTATACATCCTTAAAGATTATTCGTCAATTTGGATAAACTAACAACATCCAACATGGGTTAACAATAACAACATCTAACATGGGTTAACAATAGAAAAGATGGAGAAACATACACGTGGCACATCAAAAACTACTTTCAGAATTATTCAAGGGTAATATCTTGGCAAATGTAATATTATTTAGATAAAGATCAGAATTTCTAATGCTTTCCAACGTGCTAGAAACTCGTTTTAGTATTGAAAGCACTTTGAGTCTGTGTGTGCTCTAATATGTTTGGTAGTTAATTTTCATGTAATATATTGGATTATTTTGCCTCATTTGTATTTAGTGTGTAAAATGATATTTGAATCGTAATTTATATAACCCTGTTTACATCGATATTTTAATCCATGATCATGGGAGGAGATTTTGAAAATTTTCCTATCTTCTAAACCGCCTGCCACGCCCCGAATAAATCATGTTTTTTAATCTATTCATTTTCTTAAGGAAAATCCGCTCTCTAATATTCTTCAAAAACCTTTCTAAACTTACAAATTTCGTTATTTTTCGAAAATTTATCAATTCATTTACTTTGTAAAAATATATTTTTTTACCATTTTATTTGCTTAATAAATACATTATTTAGCTAATGTTTACTAAATTATCTTCGTTTTTTTAAATGGCATTATTTTACCTATTTAGTAAATACATTATATTTAGGGGTAGAACACAGATTAAAGAGCATAATCATTTCAAAATAAATAAAGAACGGTATATACTATATACAGTGTCCAATTTTTTTGAGCCACAAAAAAAAAAAAAAAAAAAAAAGTGCCCAACTTTCAAATGGGCGAAACCAATTATGGGGTACGTACTGAAGTGGAAGAGTCCCCATCGAAAACCGTGTTATACGTCCATTCTCATTCTTCAGAATCTCAGATCATATTTCATAAACCTTTTCTTTTGGAATCCAAACGTCGTGAATTTGCAGAGTCCCTCCAATATTTCCCACCCTTGACGTAACGTCTTTAATCTTTATTTATTAATCATGCATGCAAAAACCTCTATAAATAAACACCATTTCATTTTCTCCATTAACATTTCCCAACCTCACTTTCTCTTCCACTTTTACACTCTCCAACTCGATCGAAAATGGCTGGTCCTAAGGTTTCGTCTTCTCTCATCAAAAAGTTCGGTTCTATGAAAGTCCAAGATCAGGAACACTCTCTTGCACTGGCCCAAGTTGATTTCAGTTCATCACCGATCGTTTCGTCCTGCAACGACCGGATTCGTCCCTTCCTCAACGCGGTCGACCGGCTTCGGAACCTTGGGGTAATGGAGGAAGGAATTCAGCTCCCGACCATCGTCGTCGTCGGAGACCAGTCCTCCGGAAAGTCGAGCGTGCTCGAATCCCTCGCCGGAATCAGCCTCCCTCGCGGCCAAGGAATCTGCACCAGGGTCCCTCTCATCATGCGGCTCCAACACCACTCCAATCCTCAACCGGAGCTCTTCTTGGAATTCAACAGCAAAGTTGTCCCGACCGACGAAGAGAACATCTCGGAGGCCATAAACCAGGGCACTGATGAGATTGCAGGCAATGGAAAAGGCATATCCAACACCCCTCTGACGCTTGTTGTGAAAAAGAAAGGCGTTCCTGATTTGACAATGGTTGATCTCCCCGGAATCACTAGAGTTCCGGTCCATGGACAGCCTGAGAATATTTATGATCAGATAAGGGATATTATTATGGAGTATATTGTCCCTCAGGAGAGTATTATACTCAATGTTTTGTCTGCAACTGTAGATTTTCCGACTTGTGAGTCGATTCACATGTCGCAGACGGTGGACAAGACCGGAGAGAGGACGCTCGCGGTGGTGACTAAGGCGGATAAGGCCCCCGAAGGGCTTCTAGAGAAGGTAACGGCTGATGATGTTAACATCGGACTTGGTTATGTTTGTGTTAGGAACAGGGTCGGTGATGAATCCTATGAGGAGGCAAGGAAAGAGGAGGCTCGGCTTTTCGGAGCTCATCCTTTGCTTTCGAGGATCGACAGAACGATTGTCGGGATTCCTGTTTTGGCCCAGAAGTTGGTGCAGATTCAAGCTTCTAGTATTGCTAGAAACCTGCCTGAGATTGTGAAGAAGATCAATGACAAGTTGTCTTCAAATCTCAATGAGCTCAATAAGTTGCCGAGGAACATGTCCACGGTTGCTGAAGCCATGACTGCTTTCATGAGAATTCTTGGGTGTGTGAAGGAATCTCTGAGGAAACTTCTTCTGAGAGGGGAATTCAATGAGTATCCTAACGAAAAGCGCATGCATTGCACGGCGAGATTGGTTGAGATGCTGAATCAGTACTCGGATGAGCTTCACAAGTGCGAGGAAAGCAATCCCATAAGGAACTTTCTGATGGAGGAGATCAGGAACTTGGAGGAGGCGAAAGAGATTGCGCTGCCTAACTTCCTTCCTCGCTCGGCTTTTCTCTTTGTCCTGCAAGGAAAAGTTAATGGAATTTCAAGCATTCCTATAGGCTTTGTTGAGAGGCTGTGGGACTACATTGGGGAGGTGGTGATCACGGTTTTGATGCAGCATGTCGAGGACTATTACCAGCTGCAGCTGTCCACAAGACGCTCTGGCCACAGCCTGATCGCGAAGATGAAAGAAAGATCGATTAAGTGGATAATGGAGGTGGTGGAGATGGAAAAGCTGACTGATTACACTTGTAACCCGGAGTTTTCCACAGAATGGACTAGGCTGATGACTCTGAAGGATGGATTCTTACACAGCGTCTTGCATGATGAGAACAGGCCGCCGAGGGTGAATTTAGACGGCTTCGGAGAGATCGATGTGGAGCATCTGAGGCAGCACCCGCATCTTCTTCATCAGGCTTTTGATCTAAGGATGAGGATGATTGCTTATTGGAAGATTGTGCTGCGAAGACTTGTTGATTGCATGGCTTTACATTTGCAGCTGAGTGTTTTCAACCTTGTCAATAATGATTTGGAGATGGAGATTGTCTCTGATCTGATGGCTCCTCATGGTGGTGGCATTGAGAGGCTGATGGAGGAATCGCCTTCCGTTGCAACAAAGCGGTCAAAACTGAGTGGAAGTGTCAAGAAGCTGCAGGAGTGCAAGAGTGTTTTGGCCAATATCATGGACCGAGTCGCTTCTTGTGGTGATTAGAAAGTGTTCGGAAAGTATGATGTCAGTTTGATGGTTTTGTGAGGCGTTTGCTTTTGTTTTATGCTGTGCTGTTGTTTAAGTACTTGTCCATTTGGCTTTCCTTTATGTTAATTTTGCCTTTTATTTTGTTTTGGAAAAGAAAAGTTGTGGTACGAAAGGAGAAGGTTTGTTATGGTTGTTTTGGAGTGTTTTCAATTGGTACAAATGTTAACGTAACCATTTAGTAGCCATATGTCATTGCATATTCGGAGCCATTAATTTTTCTTCCTATTTATGGAGTTGAAACAAACTCGTTTCCACAAATATCAATTAGGAGGAGCATTCAAGTATGTCAAATACCGAAAATTTCGTACTTCCATTTTTTTTTTTGGGCTGAAAATCACTAGTATTACCATTGTTATGGTACATCCTTTACAATGTCATTCATAGGGTACACAAAAATTTGTACCAAACTACTGCATCATTTTGAAGAAAAGAAGTACATTGTTTATTATCCAAAAATCTAGTCGAAAACTACAATGCAAACTCACTGAAAATGAGAGTCTGATGTAAAGGAAGATTGAGTCCTTGTTACGCTTGATGAGTGAGTACTGACGCTCTGAGATTGACCAGAGCTCTTTTGCGAAATCTGATCGAACTGGTCTCTTAAGGCATTGAACCTCAACGGATCATGATTGTTACTTGGATCCATGATCAGTTCGTGAACAGCAGTTCGGCCTTCAAGCATGCTCACCACTTCAGACATGCCGGGACGAAGCGCCTGAGATGGATTTGTGCATAATAGAGCTACCTTTATCATTCTATTGGCCTCTTCCTTGTTGAATTCTGACCCTGACTTTGGATCCACCAGGTCCATTAAATTTCCTTTTTGTTGCAAGAATATAGCCTGCAATAAGCACAATGACGAAAAGACATGAATTTTATGCATGATGAAAGTCTTTGCTCCTTTGTTGAACAACTTTTCACTCAGAATTCACTTGGAATTCATTCTAGTCTGTGCTTGTCTTACCCAATCTAGAAGGCATACAAAGTTCTCATTTGGGCGATATCTCATGTTGTTTTTGCCAGCCACAATTTCCAATGCTAAAACCCCAAAACTATATACATCTGCTTTATCAGTTAAGTAACCCCATAGTGCATACTCTGGTGCCATGTATCCTCTGCAAAATAAGAACTATTCAATTAACTAAGTCTGGTACAAGAAAAATTAGTTTATCTCACTGCCAATTTGCAATCTAATCATAAAGCTGCAACAACATAACAAAAGGACTAGACAGAGATAGATTAGTCTTCTAAACACTTTGGAACGGAACAAAATAACAAAATAACAAAGAGGTAAAAATCTTGGCAAGCTGATACTCATGACAACGAGAAGAAAGTCCAAAAATGACAGAAGGAGCGCAAGGATCTGCAAACAATGAAGAAAATTAAATTACATAGTTCCAGCAACTCTGGTGCTAATGTGGGTGTTCTCCTCTTCATTTAGTTTGGCCAATCCAAAGTCCGATATTTTAGGATTGAGGTTCCCATCAAGCAGTATATTCGTCGCTTTGATGTCTCTATGAACAATTTTCAGAGTTGACTCCTCATGCAGGAAAGCCAAACCTTTTGCAATGCCAATACATATTCTTTGCCTTGTTTTCCAGTCTAATTTCAATCCACCTTCTCCTGAACATTTTCATCAGAAAGAAAAAAGTTTGTGACATAATCACAAGAATTTATCAACTAGCTAGTTATTTAGCTGTAGATGGTCTTGCACATAGGCCATTAAGCTTACCAAACAAAGAGTGTGCCAGGCTATTGTTCTCCATGTATTCATAAACCAACAGCAGTTGCTTTCCTTCAATGCAACATCCATGCAATTTGACAAGATTTGGGTGTTGTAATGCAGAAATCATGCCTATTTCGTTGACAAATTCACGATTTCCTTGCTTTGATTTAGAAGAGAGTTGCTTAACTGCAATGATAGTGCCATCTAGAAGTACACCCTGGAATGGAAATATGGCATTTATACATATAGAAAACAAGTGAAAGCATGTATGTAAAATCATAAGAGCAGATCCTTCAAAAAAAAAAAAAAAAATCATAAGAGCAGAATAAAAATTTGAATAGTGAATACCTTGTAGACCGATCCAAATCCACCTTCCCCAATCTTGTTTGCAGCATCAAAGTTGTTAGTGGCGGCTTTAATCTGTCTGAATGTAAAGAAACCAGTTTGAAGATCCAATCCTCTCATAACTGTCCCAGTATGAGCAAAGTGTTCACGTGTTAGATAACTTATTCATACTAATTTGAGCAAACTAGAAGAAAAGATCTGCTTTTAGACATAATTAAGTCAATCCCTTTCTTTTAGTTCCTCTAAAGGAAACATTTAACTGAACTTTGACTTGAGAACACTATTAGAATCCAACGTTGGCTGAAGATATTTACATGATCCACCTTATTAGGTGAGAAAAATTCTCTCCTAATAAGCCGGTTGTGGCTTTGATACCACTTGTTGGAGAGACACCACATGAGAAACCATCCCAACAACACACATGCACTTTACAGAAATCAAAGGATATGAGCCTTTGAGTTAGGGGAGATTGTTGATATAGGTGCATGTGTGTGTTATCCCACATAGAAAGTGGGTGAAGATGTGAATGGTTTATATACATGGAAATACTCACAATCCAATAGGTTAATTTTATAGAAATCAAAGGATATTGGGCCTAACTCACCCTAACAAAACCGGACCCCTAAGGGGGATTGCCCTAACCATGTTAAGTGGATCATGCCAATATCTCTAGTCAATGTGGGATTCTAATAAACACTAGGATGAGTTGAGTGGAACTTTTCTTGGACGAAAGAATTAGCTCTAAAATTTGATGTTGGTGTAAGTTTTACCTTGTTCCCTTGATGTCTTGCCTCCAAAACAGCCTTTCCACCAAAGAATGCCTAAAACTATAAAAAGAAGACATACTGCTGAAACAACTCCAATGATAATATACTTCTTCGCGTTGCTTTCGTTAGGAGGTTCAAAATCTAGAAAATGAAACAGAGTTAGGACAACTACTCATAAGCACCATTTTGTTATCTACTGAAAAAGTAAAAAACAATTTCAAAAAAAAAAAAAAAAAAAAAAAAAAAAAAAAGGGCCGCAAAAAAAATTAAAAAAAAAAAAAAAAAAACGAGAGCCTGCAAGAAATATTTGGTCAGTACTCTCTTACTTATGCTGGGAGACAATGTCCATGCAATGTTAACCTGGTTTCGACAAAACTATGGATGTAAAATTCTATTCCTTTTAAGAAAACGTATTAGATGTCAATGCTATATAATAGATATGTTACTCTATTTTATACACCAATGCATAATGCTATTTGAAATACTACATCTACCTTTTATCATAATTATCAAGTTCTTGGACTTGTAAAAGTAAACTTTTAATTTTAAAATAATTTAAAAATAACAATGTTGTAATGATTAAATGAAAAAGTTAATACATCAACTAATAATATTCCAATGCTAAAATTTGACATATGCTATACTTGGTGTCAAATTTGGCACCAAATATATAGGATATGCAAAATATAGCACCAAGAATAACATTGTATTAACTGAAATTTGGCATGCATTGGAGATGCTCAAAAGTTGCTTACCGGACTTCACTGAGATGGCAGATATAAGAGAACCATATGTTCCTCTCCTTGGAACATTCGTTGTCCCTTTTCCGGCCCAATAGAAGCGGATCTCTAGTGTCTTATTGCTCACAACTGCCTTAACTTCCCTAATCACTTCCTTATCAACCCCATTTGCAGCCTCTTCGATATTGAAATCCTCCAACACCAGTTTTCCCTGCAACGAAATAACCTTTCATTGTATATACATACACAAAACTACACTACTGCTCAATGAAGATCATGGTAATAACTACCTGGACATGAACATCAAACATTCTTCTTCCAACACCATAATAAGATCTGTTGTCTCTTAATACTATCTCTGCAAAGTGGAGTTTTACAGTGTAGTTTCCGTTAGCTAAGCAACGAGCGTAATACGTTATGGAAAGAGGAGAGAGGCGTGCGGTTGTGTAGAGCTCATGAGAATTGTTCATTCTGAGAACAGACACATTATTTGCTATATAGTCCTTTGTGGTAGACCAAACGTCCATGAAATCACCAGTGCTGCTAAATCCCCAAGCCGCGGCGCTGTGGACAAATTTTGATTGACCCCCGGGGTCTTCATCGCCTTCATACTTGATGTTTCCTATAGTGGTTTGTTTTCCACCACAGTTTATATGCACTGAATAGTAATCTGCGCGGGAAAGAAAAATCAGTAAGTACTAAATAAAAGAAGATAGCTATATTTGCACGCTCCAAACGTTAGTAAGGTTAAGGGAGGTTTATTTACCTTTTGAACATTTACTCAGGCACTTGCTGAGTATTCTGCAGTAATGAAGTAAAGGGGTTCATTAGCTAAAGTGAAATGATTATCATCAATAAGAATGCTGTTATTGTTCTGAAATTTTTTTCTTTCAAATCTTACGAGTTGTTCTTCAGTGCGGAAGAGCTCCGGAAGAAGTTGCTGGTGAAAACAAATAGTACACATAATTTCATCAATATGCACAAAAGAGAAAAGGAAAAAGAATATCCAAAACGTAAATACAACAATGATAGAAAGAAAAAATGACGCTCTTACAAAGTGTCTCGGCAAGTAGATGGTTCGGATGTCTCTGAAAAGTTGTTGTAAGAAATATCTATCTGGCTGCACACAAGTAGAAAATTAGAAAGTTGTTTATTATTAGCTAATTATCCTAAAGTGAACAGAAGAAACATCTATTTGGCTGCACACAAGTAGAAAATTTGATGCAAAATATAGGATGGATTACAGCCGCATTACGTACTAGCGACTGTCTCTGCTTTTGAGCCATTCGGGAATAGATCCGTTGAGCAAGTTACTCGTAAGATACCTATTCAGTGAGCAACAAAATAGCATATTGACATTTGAGGAATCATATTAACTCAATGAAATATTTACATGTGAGTTTTCTATTACTTACAATGTGTCCAAACGCATTATATTTTCGAAATCTGGAATTTCTCCTTCCAGTTTGTTGAAGCTAAGATCTCTACAAAGTAAGAGCTCAGATGCTCAGATGTCATAGCATGAAATAAGGAGTCTAGCAAAATAATAAAGCTACCTACAGAAAATACGGTGTTTAGAAAGACTAGTAGTAGAAACTTGAGAAAAGTGAACAGAAGAATTACAAAACACTCAGACTCTCCAAAGTACGTATATTTTCCGGGATTCTTCCTCTTAGATTACAGCTCCTCAACATCCTGCAATTTCAAGCAACCCCTTTTAGAACAAATCTTTTCAAGTTTGCTTGTGGATCGATTCATCTTTACTAGAAAGCTTATAAAACTTGAAAATGTCTCACAAGGTCTCCAAATTTGTCATGTTCGTCAAGTCCGGAAAATCTGAACTCTCACCGTTTAAGTCACTAATCCTTCTGCAAAGAGTAACAACATGACGATTATAAGGAATACAAGCCTTGTCAGCTGTTAAAGAATATTGAGATTTTATGGAATTATCTACTCAGAAAAGTAGGTACTTGTAAGAAGACGACTTACAATTCAGTTAAATTGCTCAAAAGAGAAAGACTAGAAGGAATTGGCCCTTCAAAACCGCTTGCTTGCATCTCTCTGTTAACAACAGCAGATATTTGACATTGATTTATATTGCTTTCGAAATTTAGAAACTAAAGATAATTTCAAACATACTAGAAACAAGCTCTTACAATTTCTGAAGTTGTTTCCAACCGCCAAAATCGGGCATCCTACCTGTGAAGTTGTTGCTACTGATCCTACTGCAATGGCCCCAAATGCATCAAGATCGAAAATTTATGAAGCAGAAGACTTTTCAGTCAAAATTATTAGTTAGAATAGTAGTGACACTTACAGTTCATTCAATTTACTGAGATTTGTGAGAGCCAGAGGAAACTGTCCGGTGAGATTGTTAGCACCAAGAATGCTGCAGTTTACACCATTTTGAACACTAAATAACTCTCAACTTATTAAGATTTAATTTTGAAGCCAATCAAATGGTAAAATAGTGAAAAAAAAAGAAACATGAAATAGAAAATGGCAAACTGACAGTCGTTCCAAGTTCACCAATTTTCCGAGCTCAGAGGGAACAGTTCCATTAAAAAAGTTGCTTTCCACGGACCTGAAGGTCATATTGATCCTCAAATTAATTCTAAGCACGTTTAAAGGAGAAAAGAGAGCGATTGAGACTTGAGAGCTTACAAAGATCTTAGAGTGGTTATGTTTCCCAAATAGCCAGGAATTTGTCCTCCTAAATTGTTTATACTAATGATTCTGCAGTGGATTCATTCGATGCCGTTAATTACCATAAGCCTTTACAGGTTAACATCTAAAATCAAGGGTCAATGAAAACTTACAATCTTTCCAACTTTGTTGAAGCCCACTCTCGCGGTATCGAACCACTAAGGTAATTCCTGACTAAATTACTATCAGGTTTAAGATAGATTAGTAAGCTATTAGCATGAGAAAAATAACAATAATAATAAAAAAAAAAATAATTACGAAAACTAAAATCGGAAAGTTGGATATCTTTCATACACTTCCTTAAGGTAAGGTAGCTTTGCTAGTGACGGCGGAAGCACACCATCAAGATCCTGCCCTGTAAAACTTCTGCATGATATATATATATATATATATATATATAGAAAATCTTATTTAAAAAAAAAAAAATCTAATTTTCATTCAAAAATTCCAAATTATGAACACGGAAAATATCCATTAGCCAAGTACTTTTAAGCTTCAAATCCAAGCATGATCATAAAAAAACACAAGACGGATAAAAGAAAAAGAAAAAAAAAAGGCTAAAGGGAAAAGGTGCATACATCTTTTGGACATGGCATACATTAGCAGAGATTGAGCAATTGCAGTCAATTATATTGCTGTACTGATCCGTACGTGGCTTATCAATAGTCGTTTTATTGCTGCAAGGGTCACTCAAGTTCCAGTCTTTCTTGTTCAGTTGTTCAGCAATTTCTTCAATTGCTTCCACTGCCCACAAAATCAATAATATTATCACATAGCACCCACACAAAATCTTCATTACTAAGAAAAGACCAGAAAAGAAGTTTGTTTACCTTCATCATTTGGAAGAGTACCACCAACTTGTGCTTCGGCTTTGATCAGTGCAGTGCACACAAACAGTAACAATGTTATGGTCTTTGTATTGATGATACAATCTCCTCTTTCCATAGCCATGTTTGTTTTTCAGCCGGCCAGAACTTAATGAAATTGTGAATTGTCTCTTTTGTAAGGCTTTTCAGGCAACTTTAATAAACAGTTTCTGGTGGTTGAGTTTTGAATGACGGAAAATTCTGTGTCAAATTTTTTGTTTTTTTTTTTTTTGGTGTGCCCAGCATCTTTCTCATGCAAGCATTAAGAAAGTTCAACCACACTTGAACAAATCCCTAGTTCATGTATAAGAAGTTAAAGTCAATTACGGATATTATCAATGATGGACATGGAGAGATTAAAATTAAGACTTTTTGAAGGATTTGAAATATCTCGGTCATACTATTCTCTCTCTAATCTTTGACCCCTATTTCTTTCTCCCACTTTTCCCTCCTACCATTTTTTCTGATCAACATTTGTTTTGAAGTAAATGGATTTTTTTTTTTAAATTATGTTATTTTGGACATTTTTTTTTGGAGAAACCAGTGTGAAAGATCTATGCTCTATTAGATAATATTTAATAGTGTATGTGATATATGAGTGGTAGCGGCCAAACATATCTAAAACTGGTAGCAGCCTTGTTGGACCGACACTGTTATTGCACAACGCATATCACAATTTTAGCATTTCGAATAAGTCATTTTTACGTCGCTTTCTTAGTTACCGAACTGTCTCGCAAAAGGAACAAACTAGGTTAGAATTACACGGATCATTTTTTTTTATTTTTTTTTTGACATGCCTCTATTTTCCAACTTTAGTACAAAGGATTACTGATGATATTACAATTCAATATATATATATATATATATATATATAATGACACTAATCCATAACTAAAGAATTCCATGATAGAAAAAATGTCAAAATCCTACGAAAATAGAAAAAGTAAACTCACAATTTTGTATTTTTACTCTGGAACTAGTTGAAACTGCGTATATGCACGTGTACGTAAAAATAAAATAAAATTTATTAGAGCCTCATTTGGGGAAATTAAAAAAATGTATAAAGAACAAAAAGGATGAGAATGAGAAAAAAGAAAGACAAACAAAAGGAAAATGTATGATAGGATAAAAAAAATTAGGATGTGAAAAAGTGAAACTGTAGATAAGGAAAAAAAAAAAAGAGAGGAAAAGGGAGGGAAAGTTTTTTTTTTTTTTTTTTTTTTTAAGAAAAAAAAGTAGAAAAGAAAGACGCAAAAAGCAAAAACAAAAAAAAAGGGTGGGAATTATAAAAACAAAAAATTTCCGAAACAAGGATAACGAAATGCCCAAAAAAAAAAAAAAGAAAAAAAAAACCATTCCTCCTTAATAGGAAGGTATGGATAAGTTAAAATATAATTTCATGAAGTATTATGACGTGTTTTCTTTTGCAGGATTATCAGTTTCCCTAATAATAATAATAATAATAATAATAATAATGCTAATTAATCTTTAATCAAGTATGATTAATGATAGTAAGGAAAAACGCGCTCTAAGGCCATTTGAGCCTTTTTCTTTTCATTTTGCATTCCGTCTCTAAGTTTGGACCCACTAACAAGCTAGGAAACAAACATCAGTAGATACTTTCTATAAGAGCGCTGCTACTCAACATTATTTTCTTAGTAATGCACTAACACATGTCACAATAGAATAAAACCGCCATACAAAAGAATAAAATTATTAGATTTCAGGCTGCTATGTAACAGTTTCGATTCACTCACACATATTTGGTGATTGCATCACCAATAATTATGAAGGCATAAATAACATTTTTCTTCCTAGAAGGTACTAATCTGTAGACATTTATTTAGCAAGGTCAAACGAATCCAGAATGCAAATACTTGCTACACTGCGCATGTTGTTAACCGCTAATTGCTGTTTCAACCGTAGGAGAATACCAACGTGCACATATGAGTAATCTACCAGGATACAGCCATAGAGGTAGAGACAGATGAACTGCATAGAATACTAACTTCAAAACGTAATATGATACATGTTTTCCAAGGTATTGATTCACTTCAAAACGTTATATCATACATTTTTTCCAAGGTATTAAGTCGGATATACAACAGACAAATCATTATCAAAACGATTTCGTTGTGTGCAAATGAACAAGTTAATACAGTTTGTTGATAAGAAATGTAGGTGGCTTAAGGATTATTGCTTCGCATAATAAGAGAATGACGGAGCTAATTATCCGCTTACTTGTACAGGGAAGGACCGAGCCGCTTGCTAAGGCGTGTCAGATAGGGATTAAGAGGAAGAGCTGGGCCTTGTGGCACTTGATGAATATAGGAAACTCGCAGACTCTCTTGAACTTGGACTTCTGAGGTGATCGATGTATTCCGTTAAGGCCTGGAACCTTAACTGGTCAGCATAAACGCTTGGATCCATAACCAACTCATGGACGAGAGTCCGTCCTTCAAGCATGCTCACAACTGCAGACATGGTAGGTCGAAGTGCTGGCGATGGATTAGTGCATTGCAGAGCTACTTTGATCATTCTGGCAGCCTCTTCCGTATTGAAGTCGGATCCCAACCTTGGATCTACCAGCCTCATTAACTTTCCCTTTTGTTGTGAAACTAGAGCCTGCAATAAGCATGGAGATGTAAGTGAATGTAGGGGAAAAGAATCAACAAGTTAAATAAAATACAAATCTTTTGGCATGTCTAAAGACAAATATGATGAGAGTTTTTTATCTTTACCCAATCTAGGAGGCAAACATAATCCTCATCTGGGCCAAATTTTGTGTTACTTATGCCGGCCACAAGTTCCAATGCAACAATTCCAAAGCTGTAAACATCTGCTTTAAATGTTAAATAACCCCATAATGCATACTCTGGCGCCATGTATCCTCTGCAAAATAATGACTAATATTATAACTTCTAGCTTAATCTACCGGTTTCCTTTTTTTTTTCTTTTTTTTTTTCATGAAAGAAACAGAGAACTTTATTAATCTGAAAAAGGAACAAGGAAAGCAGAGGAAGAGTTTTCCTCTAACAGACCCAATCCAAAATTACAAAAAACAGAATCAAAACTGGATCAAAAAGGAAAAAGAGTGCAATTCCTAACAAAATCTGAAAATAACAGCTGGCCAAACTCTTAATCCCAATATACCCACAACAAATGCTAAATAACATTAATCTCATCCATATTTTGCAATTGCCTTATACAGCTAAAGGAGTGGAACAAGAAAATTCCACTTCAACAAACCTGCATGATGGATATAATATTTTGTATTGATATAATATCCTGAAGGGCAGAATTTAGACATGTGTACTCATTATAGCTCCTTAAAGGGTCCAATTGTTGTCAAGCATGGCGAGTAGTTTGCATCGATGAAGAGAATCTTTGATATAGAAGTTTTAGATGTTACGTGAGTATGGGGAAACTCTGGATAAACTTTATGCTTGAGCAATCAAAATATCTCTAAATTAAATTCCTCGAATCTGTGATTATCCTGCCATCTACTTTATAACGATAAGTTAAGCTGATTTCAATGAAGTTAGTAGCCAAAATGAACGAAATAAAAATAAAGTGGCTCACATGGTTCCAGCAACTCTGGTGGTAATATGGGTGTTCTCCTCTTCATCCAGTTTAGCCAGACCAAAGTCCGAAATTTTGGGGTTAAGGTCCCTGTCAAGCAGTATATTCGTCGCTTTAATATCCCTATGAACAATTTTCAGTGGTGATTCCTCATGAAGGAAAGCGAGGCCTCTAGCAACTCCGACACAAATTTTCTGCCTTGTTGGCCAGTCTAATTTAAGCTGACCATCTTTTGGACCTTTTTATCAACAAAGACAACCAAATCAATGAAATTAATCAAACTAGCACTTTAGATTCGCCAGTGGAGTTTAACTTGTTAAGCTCACCAAATAAAGAGAGTGCAAGATTATTATTCTCCATGTACTCATATACCAACAACAATTGCTTTCCTTCAATACAACAGCCGTGTAATTTAACAAGATTTGGGTGTTGCAAGGCAGAAATCATGCCAATTTCATTCACAAATTCCCGATTGCCTTGCTTTGATCTTGAAGAAAGTTGTTTGACTGCAATAATAGTACCATCTAATAACACACCCTGTGATGAAAATGGCAGTCTTTTCAGGTTTATATGTAAATGTTGTGAACAAACGTATGATTCGATAAAAAGGGGGAAAATGTTGTAAATACCTTGTACACAGATCCAAATCCACCTTCACCGAGCTTATTTGCAGCATCAAAGTTGTTAGTGGCAGCTTTAATTTGCCTGAACGTAAAGAAACCAGTTTGCAGGTCTAGTCCTTTAAGAACTGTCAAAGTAATAAGTTTATAACATTTGTCAGGCTGTTGTTTACAAAGAGTTTGTCAGTAGAGACCACATCAACAATACTAGAAAGAAATTGTTACAGCAGAAGTTGGGAATCTAAATTACAGCAAAATTTTGAAAGTACAAGCTTACCTTGTTCCCTTGATGGCCTACCTCCAAGATATCCTTTCCACCAGAGAACGCCCAAGATCATGAAAATAAGGCATAATGCAGAAAGAACTCCAGCCACAATGATTTTCTTGGTTTTATTTTCATCTGGAGGTTTGAAATCTACAAAATATAGGAAAAGAATGAATATATGGGATGGTGATGAAACTAAACTAGCAATATTGCATTTTTGTTTTAGTGAACATAAGTTACTTGCAAGACTATTATTTTGAAGATAAAAGAATAGGCCCAAAAGAAGAAACTGTGAACAGTTGTTAGTTTGTTTTTTAAATTAATGTGAGGCAAAGGATAGAGAACCAATAACATAATCGATTTGATTTTTGCAGTTGATTTTTTAACGAAAAACAAGGAACATAAGTTACTTACCAGCTTCCATTGAGATAGCTGATATAAGAGAACCGTACATTCCTCTCTTTGGAGCATTTGTTGTCCCTTTTCCAGTCCATTGGAAGCGGATCTCTAATGTCTTATTATTCACGCATGCTTTAAATAGTTTAATCACTTCCTTATCGACTCCATTTGCTTCCTCTTCGATATTAAAATCCTCCAACACCCTCTCTCCCTACAATTTGAAATAACACTTAATTAGAATGCGGGAAAAAAACAACAACAAAAAGAGACACTAACAATCATATATGAAATTGTGAAGCAACAAAAACCTTAAAAAACATGTGAAATGACATAAACTATATTACGGCACGAAGCAAATGGTAGTGAGAGGGATGGAGGAATTAGCTTAATAAGAGATGTGCTTAAGAGCATGACAATGGCTACCTGGATATAAACATCAAACATCCGCCTTCCAACACTGTAATAAGATCTGTTGTCCCTATATAGTATCTCTGAAAAGTGAAGTTTCACAGTGTAATTGCCATTGGCTAAGCAACGAGCATAATATGCTAGTGAAAGAGGAGAGAGACGTGCAGTTGTGTAGAGCTCAGAATTGTTCATCCTGAGTACAGACACATTATTTGCTATATAGTCCTTTGTGCTACTCCAAATGTCCCAGAAGTCACCGGTGCTGCTAAATCCCCAAGTCGCTGTGTTATGGACGAACTTTGCTGCGCCCCCAGGGTCTTCATCTCCTTCATACTTGATGTTTCCGATGGTGATTTGTTTTCCGCCACAATTAATATGCAGTGAATATTGGTCTAGACCAAGACAACAACATAAATGGGACTTAAAATAATTTTTTGTTTGCTATATCTATCTTAGTTATTGGGGAAGCAAAAAAACAAATAGTGGGATTTGATTACCTTTTGGACATGGACTAAGGCACGGGCTGAGTAACCTATATTAGTACGGTGTAAGGAAGAAATCATTAGACTATATTAAATTTATCATCGAAAGGAATGCACTTCTCATTTTAGTTATAAGTTCGAAGCTTACGGGTCACTGTGTTGAGGAAAGCTCCGGAACAGATTGCTGATGAAACGAAATGCAGTTACGTTCGCGATTTATAGAATGGGGGAGAAAACAAAGGTAAAAAATAAAAGAATGAAGACAGAGTAACTCTTACTAGGTTTCTCGACAAGCTGGTGGTACAGAAGCCTCAGAAAAATTATTGTAAGAAAGATCCATAACACTGTACACAAACATGAAATTTTTGACTAGCCAATTCTAAGAAAAGAGAAATTGGACGTAATAATTTCATGTACTTTAACACACCCTATTTGACTTATTCACAAATATAGTTGAAGAGAAAAATATCCAATGTTTCTACATAGATGAGATATCTAACCGAATGCCAATATGCTCGATACATGCCTTCTTTTTAGGTATAAAATGTAGATATATAGCTTATATGTCCAACCCTTCAAATCATTCTAGTCATACCTCTCATGCAATTAGATTTGCTCTATTAACCTTTTACCAAGTTCCCATTTAACCCTACAACATTTGAATTTGTCAAAGCCTCAAAAGCACCAATGCATAACAACAAGATGGACTGTATGTGTGTTTATGTGTGCTCACACATAAGAGACAATGTGATTCCAATGATCAAAGTTGATGAGAAGTAAAAGGAAACACAAAATAATAATAATTATTATTAAATAAAAAATTAAAAAATTGAAGTTCATGTTACATATGAGGAGGAAAACATACTAGCGATTATCTCTGAGATTGACCCAGTTTGGAATAAGCCCAGTTAGTAGGTTACTTGTCAGATATCTGTAAGGGGGAATATAATAAAATGAGAAGATGTCAAAGTTTGTTTTCGTGTGTGTGTGTGTGTGTTTGTGTGTTCATTCTCTCATATTGGTGACTTTTACTTTCTTAATATACCAATATTATTTATTTATTTATTTTTTGATATCCAGAAGTCCCCCGAACTCACTTTTTAAGCCATAGTTTGAAAATGTAGCCTTCCGCTAAACCCTACAATCTTTGGAAGGCACGAAACTATTGACCTTTTTCATGTAGGTGCCTATTAGGTGGTTCGAACAACCAAACCTTATGGTAGCAAACCAAAGGCCTAGCCATTCCAATCAACACCCCATGGGTAACACACCAATATTATTAAAATGCATATTATATTCAAAACCCTTCCAACAATGTTATTTTACCCTATATCATCCTCGTCCATAGTAATTAGGACCTAGGAGAGGTGGGATCACGAGGAAGCGAGATTCTGTGGGTGCTAAGTTTGTTCTGATTCTGTCAGAGCATGCATTATCCACAAGTGAGCTTCCATATTAACTTCAAAGGAAAACTTAACACCATTCGTATAATTTACTATATGATACTTCCACGCTACACGTAGATGCATGGAAAAGGTTCCTGTTCCTCGTATTAAGCAATCGTTCTAAGAAAAGGAGTCTACATTACTTACAATGTGCTTAGTCCCATTAAATTTTCAAGATTTGGAATGTCTCCTTCCAATCTGTTAAAGCTAAGATCTCTGCAAAATAAAAGTTCAGATGGCATGGCATAAACAATAGAGATTTCTAAGATACATGGAATCGTAAAACATATGCTTCAGCAATAATACAGATATTACACTAAAAAAATACAGATTTATTACAATTAAGACACAAGGAAGTAAGAATCTACATTATGAATCAGCTAATAAAAAATTTAGTACTTAGTTGCTGGTACTATGTATATGTTTGAAGTACTATTTTGCATACATGTTTCAAACTATCGAAAATTTATTACTTACATGAGGGCTTATTACTACAGAACAATCTCAGTTCAGCATTTTATGGTGCTGCTAACTAGAAGTTAAAGAACCAAATCAGGCACGAACTCTACTAGAAGTGTCAGTCAATAAAATTAAAAACTAATACGAATCATGTGTGGATGTGTGCACAAGGCCGCGGACACCTATGTATATATGTTGATTCATCTTTTTCTCAACTAATAAGAGCTGCACGGACTGAAAATTCGAGAGAAAGAAGAAAGAAACATTACAAAGTTGTGAGACTAGTCAAGGTGGATAAATATTCAGGAATTCTTCCTCTTATATTACAGCTTCTCAACATCCTGCAATTTCAAGAAATCCTGTAAGCACAACATTCCAATCAAGTTGTCAATTGTCCTAATTACAACGCATACTAGAACATAAAGATGGCTCACAATTTTTTAACATTAGTCATGTTTCTCAAGTCTGTAAATTCTGAGCTCTCACCATGTAAGTCACTAATCCTTCTGCAAAGAGTCGCATCATGATAGTTGTGAGGAACTGAAGTATCTCCACCAATGAAACTTCTTATCATAGTTGTTGGGTATTTTCATATTGGCATTATTTTGCAAATTGAAAGATTTTGGGTTTGATATGGAGATTGATTTGCAGCATTGAAATGATTTAGAGATTGATTTACTGCAGAAATCCTTTTTGGAAAGTTTAAGATTTGATTGGTTTTTTATTTTTACCATTATTTTGGGCATGATTTGATGATGGTATGATTGCAGAATTGATTGGTAGCTGTTAAAACATTTTAGAAAGTTTAGTTTATATGGAAACTGTTTGGAATCAATCAAATTGCTTTGATTTGGTAGAAGATAATTTTCGGATATTTTTGGCAAGTTGAAATTGATGAAATGATAGACTTATGGATGAGTTTCTACTGGGTTGTATGAATCACTCATGTTTCTGAGGAACACGTCCACGTTCGCCTTCTTTTATATGGGAAGGTTTTAAGAATCAGCGTGGTTGACTTTCCGTCAGATTTTTCAACTCTGTTGCAGTAATTGTTGCGAGTTGAAATTGATGAAATGATTGACTTATGGATGAGTTTCTGATGGGTTGTATGAATCACTCATGTTTCTGAGGAACATGTCCAGGTTCGCCTTCTTCTATATGGGAAGATTTCAAGAATAAGCATGGTTGACTTTCCATCAGATTTTTCAACTCTGTTGCAGTAATTGTTGTAACATAATCTGCAACAGAATGTGCACAGTGGACTGCATTAGAGTTTTTTACAGCTAGTTTTTTTTTTCAGCTATTTAATTAGAGCCTCACAACAATCTCAGTGGACCTTTGGAGTCTCAAAATTACAGAGAGTTAATTCATTTTCTGAGTCTTTGTTTTTCACGTTCTTAGGGAGAAGACGATTTAAAGTGTTGAAGGGAGTTCAACCAACATTCTTTGGGAGAAGAATTTGAAGCTTTCGGGAGAGAACACACTGCCAGCCGAAGGGAGTTTGTCGTGCTGCTTTTTTAAGTCGAGTGGTGCTCGTTGAACAAGTCTATTGGGTAGTCACAAGTTCATAGGCATCATACTTAGAGAGGGAGTTTCGGGTTGATTAAGTCCATTGAGTTGTAACATTGTTTACTTCGTGGATTGTTTATCATCTGGGCGTGGCCCTATAGAGTAGGTGGTTACCAAACCGCGATACCAACTTTCCTATGTCTTTTTACTGTTTAATGTGTTTCTTATATTTGTTGCAACAAATTTAACAACAAACTTAGTAAATACACTCCAACCGGTACCAACAGAATATTGAGATCCAAATGACATCAATCACCAAATAACTAAGAAGTTACTAGGTAAAACTCACATTTCTGTTAAATTACTCAGTACAGAAAGACCGGAGGGAATTGGCCCTTCGAAACCACTTGATTGCATCTCTCTGTTAGCAACACAATTTAAATGTACAAGGGTCCACACACTATTTAGATTTAGAAACCTGGAAAGAAACACTTTAGGATGAAGAGCTCTTACAAATTCTCAAGTTGTTTCCAACTCTGGAAAAAGTCTGGTATTTTTCCAGTAAAGTTGTTGCTGCTAATCCTACTGCAAATGACCCCCCCAAAAAAAAAAAAAAGATTCAGAGACGTGGATCCCAGGACTTTCTAGGCAGAATCTCGAACTAATCTAAGGTATTAAAGAACACTTACAGAGTTCGTAGTTTGGTCAGTTTGGTGAGAGACACAGGCCACTCTCCCGTGAGATTATTAGCACTAAGAAAGCTGCATTTATCCAGGGCAAGACAGTCTTTAACAATTTGTTAAGCTAAAATTTAGAACAAGAAAACAAAAGATCAATTCATACAAGTACAAAGATGAAAAGAAAAGGGAATAGAAAGCTAAAACTGACACAGTTTCCAAGTTGACCAATTTCCCAATTTCAGGTGGAATTGTTCCAGAAAACAAGTTACTCTCCAGACCCCTGAAAGGCATAGTTCTCTTAAGGTTACACTTGGGAAAACCAAATGGACGTTCATATATGATTATAAGCAAATATAAGTGGACTGAAAAGATAGGATTCTGAGCATACAGATCTTTGAGAGTAGTTATATTTCCCAAAAATCCGGGTATTGGTCCTGATAAATTGTTGACACTGACGACCCTGCAGTAGATCCTTGACATTAGTACAATTACTAGAGTCATTTATAGATAAACTTGAACATGAAGCGCATAGAGAATTTTACAGGAATTCCAACTTTGTAGAAGCCCATTCACGAGGTATCGAACCACTGAGGTAGTTCTGGCCCAAATTACTACACACAAGAGGAAAAAATATAAGTACTAGTATAAACAAACTACATTAAATTTGAGGTAGCAAACAACAGAAACAAATAATTCCGTACAGTTTCTTAAGGTAAGGTAGTTTTGCCACTGATGGTGGAAGCACGCCATCAAGATCCTGCCCTGAAAAATCTCTGCATGATAAGGATAAGAAAACGTGCATGTCAAAATATTGAACTAATGCTCTGAGACAAGAGTCGTGAACAAAGAAATGCTAGAAAAACCAAAAGAGAGTTGAAAATCAGAAGCAAAAACTAGGAGGGGAAGAAAAAAGGATCATTGAAATAAAGCAAAGTAGACCTAACTAACAATAACTCTCAGACATGCCAACTTGTTTCAGTCAGACATCAACATCAGGGTCATAATCTTCTTGTTTTACATGCCACGTTACAACATCATAAGTGAAATCATGGCCACTTATTATTTCCTTTTGATACGGTGTGGGGCCTATGGCTCCCACTTTATTTACAAGAAATGAAACCACCAAGATTCGAACCATGGTGGGTACACGCACACACCCACACCCACACACTTTCTTTTCTTTTTAAGTGGGGTGCGCTAGGCCTGTGCAGTAGTGCAATGCATGGGCAAGGCTCAAGAGCCCCTGTAGCAAGCTACTTTGGTAGGCCCCTCCTAAAAAATAAGATTAATATCATGTGGGCTAATAGCGCACTATTAGATATTAAACTGATGAGAACAGATACTACACTTAATTCTTACTTAATTTGATACATCACAATTACCATAAGAGCACTACAATAAGACGAAGTTACCAACTGTGAAACACAAAAAGAGTAAGAAAAAGAGAGAATTACATGCTCTGGATATGGCATACATTGGGAGAGATGGAACAATTGCAGATGATAGTATTGAAGTATTGATCTGTATGTGGGCTATTAACAGTTGTTTTATTACTGCATGGATCACTGAAATTCCAGTCTTTTTTATTCAGCTGAGCAGCTATTTCTTCAATGGCTTGCACTGCATGTACACATCAAAACTCGTCATTTCTCATTTATTCTTGCACTATTTCCACTACTAATTGGAGATTTCTTTAAAGACTACGTTCTTTTACTAATTGAAGCAGTACAATGTCCAACTAATAATCGACGATTACAAAGTTTCTACATGGTAGGCAAATATGGAAAAACGGCAGGGGAATTTTTTTGGTTTCAAAACCATTTTCCTATAAATAAGTAAGAAATTTTATTAACGCAAAAAACTATATTTACGTCAAAGAAAAAATAATTACTATTATGTTTAGGAAAAAAAAAACTTCTTTTATTATTATTATTTCTACGTAATACAGCCAGAGAGTAATTGAAATCAATCTAATCCCATTTGATATTAATCTAATTTCATTTTCCAAATGCATAAACAGTCAATAAACCCACAGAGAAAATAGGCAAAGATTTACACACATATTATCCGTTTCTACATGCAAAATTAGTAGGCCCACATTGTAAATCAGTTCATTAATGTTTATAAGAACTAATTAGACAGCTGACCTAAACTAAACCCAATCTTCTTCCATTGAATAAAAAAAAAAAAAAACGTGAAAGAAAATCAAAACACAATCTGGGTCTTCACCCATCTTCATCAAGTAGTCAATTTAACTACCAATCGCTCAACTAAATAAAGAAAGGGGGCGAAAAAAAAAGAGCCCATTGATTGATTAATTACCTTCGTAATCGGGAAGAGTTGTGGTTTGAGCTCTCGATGCGGTGGGTCCCAGTTCCTTACAGAAAAGGAGTGAGATTAGTACAATTACATGGCTAATTTTGAGTTTTACTGTATAAAAAAAAAAAAAAAAAACGTGAAAGAAAATCAAAACACAATCTGGGTCTTCACCCATCTTCATCAAGTAGTCAATTTAACTACCAATCGCTCAACTAAATAAAGAAAGGGGGCGAAAAAAAAAGAGCCCATTGATTGATTAATTACCTTCGTAATCGGGAAGAGTTGTGGTTTGAGCTCTCGATGCGGTGGGTCCCAGTTCCTTACAGAAAAGGAGTGAGATTAGTACAATTACATGGCTAATTTTGAGGAAGGACTTCGTCTTAGCTTCAATGGTACCAGAGCTTTCTGCTGAAGACATTTTTCTTTTGTTTTTTTGGCTGAAAATTGTGAAGTACTGGGAAAGAAAGAAGAAAACCCAGCTCAGTTTTTGCATTATATTATTGAACAAAAAAGAAAAATGACGTTGAAATCTTTAGTCAAAATTACGAACATTAATGAACGACCATGTTTTGTCTTCTTTACCTCCTGCTTGCCTCGTTGACTCCTTGTCGTAATGTGGGCAGCGCCAACCCGCCAAATCGGTTGCTCTCAGTTTCAAGCGATAGAATTTTTTAAAGAAACAGTTACATTAAAATATTAATATTTTTGCATAAATAGATTTGGACTTTGTCGATAGGACTTTTCTACTAACACGATCAGTATTTGATTATTGAAACCGTTCTAAATTATTTTATTAAATTGTAAAAGTACGTAGAACAACTTTTAACATAGATTTAACTTTTAATATATATCCTTATATATTCATTTTTTTTATCTTACCTGATAAACTCTTTATAGATTGACATGTTTCCAAGCGAAAAAAAGAAGAAGAAAGAATCGTATTTCCAACAAAAAGAGACATATTAAATATCAAGTGGGGCAGGTCTGAACCCACTTTTGAAATTTACCGAATTCAGTAACATATTCTTAAAAACTTAAAAAACAAAAACAAAATCCAATAATAAACGCCCATTGACATTTCAACCCCTTATTCTATTGAGACTAATCCGAAGGAGAATATAGGATCTGTTAAATTTATGCGTGTTTTTTAATTTAAAATTTTAAATTTTTTATAAGAATAAAATATTATAATAAAATTAAAATTATAAATTTAAATAAAAAAAATAAATGAGTTAACTTTCTTAATCAATATATTATCATAAGAAAATATATTTTGAGCGTTTGATACACAATAATTTTAAAATAAAAATAAAAATTTATAATATTATCATATTTAGTATAAAAATTATAATTTTTAAATTCTTAAAAAAGTGATTAATATAAAATTTAGAGATAATTTAAATACCATTCAAATGCAGTGTTATTTAAATTTTAGGAATCTTTAAAGATATGTTTGGTTGGAAAATTTAAATCATGTAATTCGAATTATTTTTTATTTATATGAATTTTTTATGAGAGAAAATACTATAACAAATTATGAATCATGATTCAAATCAGGGAACGAATCCCTCTACCAAACAGAGCCTAAATAATCTTACCTACGCACCCAGTGCAGCTTACCACCGCTGAGCATCTCCTCCTCCCTGTCGTAGCTGCCGAGCACCTCCATCACAGCCACTGTCCAAGCTCGCCGCCGGAGTTTCCCCATCACCGCCCATCACAACTACTCTTCTCCGTTGATAGATAGTTTTTCCCCTTCTTCCTCTCACGCTTGCACCTCAAAGCCGCCGTCGCCGCCCCAGTCGCTCCGCCGCCGCCCACGGAGGAGCGCGTCGAGGAATCGTCCGAGAACGACGAGCAGGAGAGAGCTTCCGAGGAGCAAGTGAGCCGCGATCCCGACGACGTCGAAGTGCTCCGCTCGCTCATGGAGGCGAAGATCAAGGCGAACAAGCTTGATGAGGCGGTCCAGGTCCTGGACCGGCTGATTGAGCTCGAACCGGAGGACTTCGAATGGCCGCTGCTCAAAGCCAACATCCATAGCCACAAGTCAGAATTACTCGGATGCTCTGCTGAGGAAGAGTCGAGGAGGCGATGAAGAGGTGCGAGAAGCAGAGGAACAAGTCGGAAGTTAGGGATTTCAAGCTCCTGATTGCGCAAATTAAGGTTATGGAGTCGAATTACTAGGACGCTCTGCTGAGGAAGAAGAACGAGGCCGAGAAACAGTTCGACAAGTTCCGGCGACTCGTTCCGAAGAACCATCCGTACAAAGAGATTTCGACGACAACATGTTCGCCACGAAGCTTTTCGCACAGCATGTCGATAGGGAGAAGAATGGCGTTTGAATTTTCTGGTTCTCCATTGAGGTTGACCTTATTTTTTGTTTCCTTAATTCTTACTTTCTGTGTTTTTCGTTGAATTTGGCATTTTGGTATCAAGTATCTATCAACAATTCGAATAGAAGATGGAAAGGGGAAAGATAGATAGTTTTTTTTTTTTTTTTCGTTTGTTATATTTTTTGAATCTAATTTTGTCAAAATTATAATCACTTAATTAAATAAATAGTTTAAAATTATTTAAAATATTTAATTTTATAAGAAAAATTACATTATATTATTGTATATAACTACACACTGTAAAATAACATTTTTGAAAATTTGATAAAAGATTCTTACGCATAACCAAACATGATAATGTAGATTTTTAAGTAATTATATTACTCACAATTACTTTCTCAAGTATTTAATTTCTATTGATTATTGCATATCAAACACCCTTTTAAAAGCATTGTTGATAATGAGGTTAACAAAATTCCTCTTAATTTTTTACAACTCTCTTAGACTTCATTCGTTTTGTGGATTTAAGTTTTCAATTCGAATTGAGATGTAAATTTTTTTGAGAGTTTTTAACTATGATAAAAAAAGTTAAATTTAACATTTTCTAACAATTTTTAATTTTAAAAACTTAAAATTAAAAACTTAAATTGATAAAATAAATGTCTTGAAAACACACAATACTTATTTTGAATTTTTGTTCAAATTTTTTGTTTAAAAATTATGAATTAAATTTTAATTTTAATTTTTTATGCATTTTAAAAGTACTAAATGTGCTTATCATATGTTCCAAGATTTTTCTACCCCACCTACTTTTGTACTACCTTTAAAGATGATAATATTTGCCGAGCCCCATTCCTGAGAAGACCTGCCCCTATAAAGGGTGGGGATGGACAGGCGCGGAGCCAATTTACTACCGGTTGGGACACGTGTCCACCCTGAAGTATGAAAATCACGTGACATCTGACATGTACACTTCTCTTTTGAGACGCACTTGTGGTTTTGAAGTAGTATCTAACTGGCTCTTTCGTTTCGTTGATTCGAGTTTAAAATTTGAGTTGACATGTAATTTTATATAAGAATTTTTTATTGTAATAAAAAAGTTAAATGTGATTATTTTTCAGAATTTTTTACTGTAATAAAACTCGAATTGTAAACTCAAATCGGTGAAGTGAACGGAGCCTTTATTTTATAGGGACAAGAATTTTCCCTAAATTGTAACAGGATCGAGAGAGGAGAAGCACTCATTATCCTCTGATAATTCATAATAATATATATTTTTTAATAAGTATTTAGGATTGATTCTATAAATAGTTTCTAAATTTTATTCTCAATCTTATTTTGATTTTTAACTTTTAAAACTTTTAATAGTTGGTCTTTGAATTTTTTTTTCTGTTTTAGTAATTTAATTAATTAAGTATTAAATATTTAAAAAAATTTGTGTAAATTAAATATTGAAATTGAAAACAGTTATAATTTAAGGACTACATGTGAAAATTAATATTTGTGATATTAACTCAAATATATATAATATTATTTTAAATATAATTAGTCTTTTTATGGCTTTATTATTAATATTGGTCTCGTAAAATTCGTTTTATTTTGTGCAACATTTGATTTACTTTAAGTTTATATTAAATTTCTACTTTATTTTTTTAAATTACTATAATTTAAAAACGCACAATTATATTAAATGAAGAATGAGGTGGGTAGGAGACAAACCCTAGGAGGGAAATTCCTATCCCACCTCTCCTCAAGTGGGAACAAGGATGAGGATACAGATGATTCTGGGGAGCAAGGCAGAGGTGAGAAACATTTTCCACCTACATCTAGCTCTGTTGCGTTCCTATAAAATATTCTCTTTACCACCCCCCCCCACCCCCCCACCCCTCCCACGACGAAAACCCCTCTCTCTCTCTCTCTCTCTCTTCGAATGGATGACATGATAAATTTAAAATTTATTTGAGCATTTTTTGAATTTATTTCATGATCAAATTTGATCCCAGATTTATTAAATTTAGTCATGAGGTGAATTTAAAATTTTCCAAATAAATTTTTGATTTATCAAATTTGGTTATATGGTAAATATGATACTGCCGTTATCTAACTCAACAAAAGTTCCTGCTATTTATTTCTATTTTTTCCAAAAAAAAAAGAGAGTTTTCTGGTAGTCTTTCTTATAAGTAGTTTTAATTTTTTACTGTTAAATATGATTAAAATTACACCTAATTAAAAAAATATGTAAAACAGATAAATTTTGATACAAATTTGATGGTTGAAAAATAAGAGACTACCAATAATTTATTTTACAGGGACTATCAGAGAAACTTAAAAAAAAAAAAAAAAACCATTCAACTTAATTTTTTTAAGGAACTTAGTTACATATTTGAAAAGTTAAACTGAAGGGTGTGCCAATGAAATATCATCATATCACCATACTACATAAAATTAAAATTTGTCAAATAAGATGGTCTGGATAACCTAGCTATTTTCAAATATTCAACTTCATCTTTAAAGGCTGGAAGAGCGATATTCGATAACTTTCTCTAGAAATCACACGTACGCAAGTTCTCTTCTTGTTGATCAAATTTTCTTCTATACTACATGAGATCCCCAAAAGCTTATAATTTGGTGGGTGTTGACCTGTTGGTTCATCTTTGTCTTTGTTATTGACAATATACAATTTCAAAATTACTTAATTCGCTGTACGTAGCCGTATACTTTAGAACACAATCAAAAAGCAATATAATTTTGTGCCAAATGAAGACCTAGTAATTTATTTATTTTTTGCTACTTATAAAGAGATTTAGTAGTACACTTTATGTTTTCTAGCTCCTTCGACTATAGCAAGTAATCTCGGGGACCACAGAGTATATAGAAAGAGTCTGAACTAGTCTCTCACTGACTATCCAATTAGTTTTCACTCTTCTCCATCCTGTGGGGCCCACGGAGGCTCATATAATTTCCTACAAAGTGCAGGACAGCAATGCGTAGGTGCAAAGTATCAAACTTTAGGAGGATGGGCAGAGGAGAAAAGACCTGGTATTAATATCTAATATTCTATTATTCCCAATCCAAGTGCAGTTTGCACCAAATTAGAAAAATGGTCTACCCAAAATAAAAGACCAGTGAAGAAAAACATAAACAATTGAGGAGTTTCTCTGGTAGGTCAGTTTTATTGATAGTGTTAATTTTTAACTGTTAAATCAGGTCAAAATTATATTAAATTAAAAAAATATGCAGAACAAATTGATATATATCTAACGACTAAAAATGGAGATCTATCGATGGTTTATTTTTTCTGATTCTATAAGAGAAGCTTCCAAACAATTGTGAAACATGTTTATATGGTCAACGAGTACTTTAAGGATTAGCATTCACATTGTTCACTACAAGCCCGTTTAATTCGCTGATTTAAATTTTTAATTCGAGTTAAGATGTGACTTTATGTGAGAGCTTTTTACTGTAGCAAAAAAGTTAGATGTGACTGT